CCTATCATCCTATCATCCTATCCTCCTCCTCCTCCTCCTCTTCCTCCTCCTCCTCCTCCTCCTCCTCCTCCTCCTCCTCCTCCTCCCTCCTCCTCCTCCGAGTGGGGCCACGCGCGTGGACGTCCTCAGCGCTCCTCGGCATCCCACGTCGTGCGTGGTACGTCGGCGGGGCTGCGGGGTCACCGCGCGGCCTCGGGAGGCGCCGGACCCCGCCCCTCGAGGCCGCCTCGGGCGGCCTCGGGGGGCCTCCAGGGCCCCGGAGCACCGTGCGGCGACGGGCCGCGCGGCGACGTCCTGGCTCGCGTATAGGCCCACCAAACAATGCTCTGATAACCGTTCGTGGTTTGCACGACACTTTCAGAACATTTCTGGCTGGGGCTGTCTTGCTGTATCACACCGGGCGTATGTTCTAAGAATCTGCATTCCGTTATTTGAACATTTTTGGGTTCTAAGAGCATTTCGTGGTAGGACTATAAGAATGCCGGGACGGTCGGTCCCTGCTCAATTCACGGCCGTGGCGGGCGACCGGGGCCTCCGAGGTCCCAGCGCCGTGCGGTGGCGGACCGCGCGGCGAGGGCGTGTGAGGACGTCGGTTCACCCTTCACGGCCGTCACACCACGGGTTCGGGGGGCCCCCGAAGTTGTCCCTCTGTGACGGCTTCTTTCAACGCAGTAGCTTTGCCCTAGATATGTGTCGTCGCTTCTCCTCGTCATGTTGGTGCCTCTCCTGCGCCTCCTCCTTTTCCTATTGCTTTTCGCTGCCAGGTCCGACGATCGGCGTTGGACGCGTGTGTTTTCTTGGAGGGACCTTGGATGCACCCTCCACGCCCTGTGGGCGGTGTCGGCAGCTGTGGACTGCCGCGTCTGGCGAACCGCGTCGGACGTCGTGCTGTCTCAGGGAGGGCACAGTGCGTGCCCTCCATTCGTGGGCTGAGCTGTCGCCCCCCCGTTCGGTCCTGCCCGACGGCTCGCAGAGGACCTCTTCCCCCCCGGGCCCCCGGCCTCCTCTTCACCTGCCTCCCGCAGGTGCTCCTCCTCCTCCTCCTCCTCCTCCTCCTCCTCCTCTTCCTCCTGCAGGTGCTCCTCCTCCTCCTCCTCCTCCTCCTCCTCCTCCTCCGGCTCCCTTCCCCTCCGTCTCCGTGGCTGGCCCCCCTCGCCCGCACTGCTGGTCACTCCTACGTCGGGCCCGTCCCCCTGCAGGGGGAATATCCCCAAACAGTCAAACAGAAATCGTCTGGGGGTGGCTTTGTGTTTTTTTTGGGCTCTATTTGATTAGGCTTTGAGTATTTCTAATTTTTCCCTCTAGAAGTCCGCCTGTAGGGGGACATGCCCGACCTCATGCGGTCACTTCCCCTCCCGCCCCGGGGCGCCAGGCTCGCGGACAACAACGAGGACGGCTCCATCAGCTTCCGGGAGTTCGTCATCTGGTACTTCCGCGTGCAACTCCCGGGAGGTCCAATTCTGATGTTGCGTTGGTCCGAAATCCGGACAAAGACTTGGCCGAATCCCGCTTGATCCGGCTTGATCCCACTTCTCGTCGCCCTCCACCCCGCCTCATCCGCGGCCCACTCTGGCGTAGTGGCCCCTGGGGCTTGATGAATTCTTCCTAATCCTGCTGACGAAGACCTCCCAGTACGGCAGGTTCGTGTCGTGCCGTAGTTCGGCGGCGAGCGAGGGGGGGAACTGAGAAGGAGGAGGCCTTCTCAGAAGGCGGCCGGACTTCTCAGAACCTCTCGCGCCTTCTGAAAACTTCTGTCTTGCTTTCTGGGAAGGCTCAGAACACTTCTCAGAAGGCCGGGGGGACTTCCGAACCTTCTGAGAAGGCCTTCTCCGTCTCACTTCCCCCTCTCGCTCGCCGCCGAGTAGTTCCGAGGCGAGAATTTCTACCCGATCACCGCCTGGAGGGTCAATGTTCGGGGACCTCAGCAGGCGGTGGATATGGATATACACATATATCTATCTATCTAATATATTTATATATATATATATGTGTATATATGTATATATACTATGTTTTAACATGTGTATGTGTGTATATATATATATATATATATATATGGATTCGGCCCTCCCGGGGGCCAAACTATGTCCATGTCCACCGCCCGCTGGGGCACCAGGACGTCGGCTCCCGGGCGGTGGACGTGGAGATGTCCCCGCCTCGCAGCAGCCGCCTCGCGAGGTACTCGAGCCACCGCTTCACGGAGAACTTCAACGTGGCCGTCGAGGAGCGTGCGCGGCGCGGCCTCGCCAGGCGCCCGGGGGCCTCCCCCCCCCTCGCTCGCCTCCGCCTCCCCCCCTCCCGCCCCTCGTCCGCCTCTGCCCTCCCTCCGCCCCTTCCCCTGCGCCTCGCTCCTCCTCCTCGCTCCTCCTCGCTCCTCCCCCCCCTCCTTGACCTCCTCCCCCTCCGCCTCGCTCCTCCTCCTCCTCCTCCTCCTGCTCCTCCTCCTCCTCCTCCTCCGCCTCCGCCTCCGCCTCCGCCTCCGCCTCCGCCAGCAGGAGGAGCGTCCCGGCACAGCTCCCCCTCCCTCTCCTCCTTCCTGACGCTGCGCGGGCATCGATCGCGTGATCCCTCCCTCTCCTCCTTCCTGACGCTGCGCGGGCACCGATCGCGTGATCGCTGCGCCCTGTGGATCGGGCAAAGTGGCGAGGCCGACTTCGGCCAGAGGCAGGCACATCTCGCCCGGCTGGCGCAGCGGAATACTGTGCGGACCACTGCCAAGGAAAAAAACCCTGCTCTCTTCCAGGGTGCCCTGCGCTTCCTTGGTTTCGATGGTTCTGCCATGGAGAGCGTGACGTTCCCGCACCAATCATCAATGGACGTCCTGGGGTCTCAGGGTTGGGTTTCTCGTGGAAGGTCTCTCGTGGCTTGCCCTGTGGCGAGGTAAGAAGTACAATTTTGGCTCTACTGCCCGTTCTTGTCGGTTCCTCGGGGGGAGGCCCCTTCACCGTTTCAGTTCATAGGTGGGGGGGGGTCCCCCCGTCACTGTGGCCACCAAAATGTGGCTCTGTGAACGGTTAAAGACCTGTAAAAACTATGATATGAGGATAGGCTCGCTCTGTAAAAACTATGATAGGCTCGCTCTGCAAAAACTAGACTGTGCTGTGTGGTGATAGGCTCGCTCTGTAAAAACTATGATATGAGGATCCACCACCGTCCCTAGCCCGCTTCCCATCAGCCAATCCCCAACCATCCCCCTCATAAGCACCCTGCTGGGCCGGCGCTGCCGGGCCTGGTAACAGGGCAGGAGACCAACTTTGTCGTGGTCTGGGCTGGAGTACAGCTGCGATGACAGAAGAGCGCATCAATAGCCGAGACATGTCAACGATTAGGCAGAGGAGAGAGAAGCCGTGCGTTCTGAAGCGTCAGAATACCATCATGTTGCACGAGGCTGGCACTGGAAAGTCTGGCCCAAGTATTTGACAAGGTTGTTCCTCCGCCGTCGAGACCACTCCCATCGCTCCCCCTCCCCCGCCCCCCTCAACTCACCCTGTTGGGCCGGCGCCGCCTGGCCCACTTCTTTCTCCTCCGCCTCCTCCGCCTCCTCCTCCTCCACCACCTCCCTCCTCTTCCTCCTTCTCCTGCACAGCTCCTTCTTGCCCCTTCCCCCTCCTCCTCCCTCCTCCGCCTCCACCTCCTCCTCCTCCTCGCCTCTTCCTCCTCCTTCCTCCTCCTCCTCCTCCCTCCTCCTCCTCCTCCTCCCTCCTCCTCCTCCTCCCTCCTCCTCCTCCTCCGCCTCCTCCTCCTCCTCATTACCAGCGGCGGGCTGTTTTCCGATCCCAGGACTTTTTGAGGGTCGGGGACGACGTCGGGGTGGTGTGGTGCATGTTTCTTCCCTGCTTTCCCGGGGAAACAACGAAACACATATACACCAGGATCCCGTATACACCAGGATCCCACCCACGCCCTCCGCTCGGCGTGTATTTGTTCATCATTGGAAGAGTCCGTCCGTGACAGGTCCTCTTGGCAGCAAAGCACGGCTCAGCCATTAGATCCCATTCGCTGGCGGCGAGCGAGGGGGGAAGTGAGAAGGAGGGGGCCTTCTCAGAAGGCGGCGGGACTTCTCATAAGCCTTCGCGCCTTCTGACAAGTTTTCTGTGTCTTCGGGGTGTGGCTTAGAACTCTTCTCAGAAGTTTTGGGGACTCCTGAGGCTTCTGAAAAGGCCCGCCCCTTCTCACTTACCCCCTGGGCGCGCCGCCGAATTCGGGAATCCCTGTGGTTGGCTGGCAAACCTAGTGACAAGGTTCATAGTGAGAAGGTTCCTAGCTATTGTTGAACCATCAGGGTGCCCTCATCAACGCCCCTCTTGACGCGTCCGGGTCCCTCAAGTGGGCGCCGCGCATGAACTATGCTATCCCCCCCTCCCTCTCTCCTTCTCTCTCTCTCTCTCTCTTTTTTTTTTTTTTTTTTTTTTTTTTTTCTCTCTCTCTCTCTCTCGAGGTGGAACTTCCCAAGCCTCCCGCGGATAGCCCTGAGTTGCTCGAGTTTGGGCGCTCCCGTGGCGCTCGGGGGCCTGGGGTCTATGGCAGGCCTTCCAAGTCTAGCATTCCTGGGGCTGCGCGTGCTGGATGGGCTTCGGTCCAATTGTTCGACTGCCGCCCTGCCATGCAGATCAGTCTTCGGAGCACTGCCGGGGGCCCTGCAAGCCATCGGTCGGGTCGAACGATCGGCGGCCAGGCAGGTGGCATGCCATTACTCTGGCACGCGGCTCGTAGCGCCTGATCTCCACGCCGCGGTGAGAGAAGGCAGTGTTTGGAGACCAGTGCGAGCGTGAGGACAGTCCAATCACGCCGCCATGTGAGACAGCACTTTCGCTCAAGCTGGGGAGTCGCCCTGAGTTGCGATGTCGCCCCGCACAGTTGGAGTGGGGCTTGTGTGTGAAAGTGTGGGCGGGGAACCTGCGGGGGCCGATGTGTCGCATGGTTGGGGCCCCTGTCGCATTCCTTCGTGGAGGGCTTCTGCAGTTGCAAGCCTCTGCCAGGGGAGCCCTGCTACCACCAAGCTGCGATGTGTTTCATCGCCGGGGCTGCCCAGAGGATGTTGGAAGCCAGATCGTGGGCAGTCCCGGACACCGACTGCCTTTGTCGTTCCATTGATCGGGGGCCCCCCAAACGGGGTGGTGACCACACCGTCTGGTGAGTCGGTGGGGTTCGGGGTCACCGCACGGTTTTGGACTGGGGTCGGTCTCCGGGGATGTCTCGGGCGATGGCGGCCTCCTCAGGGTCCCAAGACGGGAGTGGCGACGGGCCCTGCGGTGAGGTCTTTTTGCGGCTCTCGAGGTCGCCGCTGGGTCTTTCACCGCACGCTTTTTTGGGATCCCCAAATGGAGCCCTCCTCCTGCTCCTCCTCCTCCCCCTCCTCCTCCTCCTCCTCCTCCTCCTCCTCCTCCTCCTCCTCCCAGGATCCAGGTCGCCACCCGCGACCCCTCCGGCGCAGCGGGTGCTGTCGGTGAGCGGAGGTACGGGCAGCGCGGCGGGTGCGCTCGCAGCCGCCACGTAGTTTTCGCTCCGGGGGCCGCCCTCGCTGGCGGAGACGCCAGGGGGTGTCTCCCCACTCCTGCTCATCTGGGCCTCCTAGATCTTGGCATCGCTCGGACGTCTGCATTTTTCCTTCGGCGAGGGCCATCGAGGAGCATCCTTGATCATTTGGCGAAAAAAACACGCGCGAAACTGGAAACAACACAGGGAATGGACGTCCGAGCGATGGCCAGAGATGGGGTCCGAGTAGTTTAGGGGGTGGACAGAACCCCACCCTGACACGTCGGTTGGTGAATTGTCCATTTTCGGTTCCCGAGGGGGCGCCGCGGCCGTCATTTTCCAGGCTTGCGCCCGCCCGGTTTGGGCTCGAGGTCGTTTTCACTGAACCACGTTTTGCAAAAGCGGGTTCTGTCCATCCCTGATAGACGGGGTCGGAGGATCGCGCCGCATCGCCGATGCATCGACGATGCGGCTCGATGTGGAGACTGTGTTTCCCCACGCCGACGTCGCCGATGCATTGGCGATGCGGCGCGATCCTTCGACCCCATCTGCTCGGACCCCATCCAGGAGGCCTCCAGAGCTCAGAAGCTCGCCTGCGGCCGCTGGCTCCGTGCCTCCGGTTCCCGTGCTTCGGCTGTGCGCTCCGAGGCTGTGCCGTGGGCTCGTCCTCGTCCTCGTCGAGGAGGAGGGAGGAGGAGGAGGAGGAGGAGGAGGAGGAGGAGGGGGGGGGGAGGAGGACGAGGACGAGGACGAGGACGAGGACGAGGACGAGGACGAGGACGAGGCCGAGGACGAGGACGAGGCCGCCGGGCCGCGCGTTTTTGGTTGATGGCCCCCGCGCCTGCGCCTCGGGGCCCCGGGGGGGCCGAGAGTGCTGCTGCCGCGGAGCCCGCCCCTGCCAAGAGGCCCGGCCGCGGCGTTCGCTGCCGCGGGCCTCGTCTGCCACCGTCGGCTCGGTGGAGCTCTCACGGCAGCTCGGGGAGGTTCCGCTGCCTGCAAGGGGAGCCTCTCGGGGGCGCGGAGCTGTTCGCGCTTCGCGCTTCGCGGTTCGGCTCCGATTCCTCATCCTCCTCCTCCTCCCCGGGGAGGCGGCGCGAGGGCGCGAGGTTCTATTCGCGCTCTCGCGCTCTCGCGCAGCGCGAGGCGCGGAGTTGGGAGCCCCTGTGGTGTCTCGGGTGCCACGGGCCCGTCCAAAGTTGCTCCGACGTTGGCCGCTCAGAGGATGCAGGCAAGAAGAGCTGAGCAGGGCAAGCATCCGAAGACGGGTGAGCCCATCCATATGCAGCCTCCCCTCTGGAGGGGGGGGGCACTCGTTCAGCTTTTTCCCCCGCCCCCTTCGCGATGTCGCCCGTCGTCGTCCTGCCCGTTCCGCACTTACCTGAACTGCTACGCGGCCTTGGACCTCGATGGCTGGGCGCGGGGTGTTGGCAGGTCGTTCCTGCTTCAGCCTCCTTCCTGCCTCAGCCATCTGACCCCCTGGTCGCCCTTCAGGCTTCCAGGGGGCGCATCGGTCTGCGTCCTGATGTATCTCCTCCTTCTCCCTCTCTTCCTTTACTCCCCCTCCTCCTCCCTCCTCTCTCATATCTCCCCATCTCACCCCCTCCCTCCCTTTCTCCCTTGCACCTCCCTTTCTTTTCCCTTCCCTCTTCGTCCTCCTGCTGTCCTCCACGTAAAGACTCGTGCAGTTGATCCTCGAATGTGCTGCGAACATCAACTTTCGGAGATCCGTGCAGATGTCTCGGATCGGGTCGGCGCTCGATGTCACTGGATGTGACGGGGTCCACGCCGATCCGAGAAACGTCTGATTCTGCAGTTGGGTGCTGTTCTCTAGCGTGAAAGCTCGTATACCAGACCCTCCCTCGGGGGCCGCCAAGAGGGGTGATGACTAGGGGGGTGGATATCATGGCTGGGGCCATGATATCTCCCCAGATTTCATGGCGCCTCGTCTTATTTGAATGCGTCCCTGGCCCCCCCCCCCAGGCCGCGCACATGTCGCCGGCCATGACTTGTGCCCCCCCTCTGGGACGTCCCCCTCTCGGCCGCCCCCGACTAGAGGCGACTCGGCATCACCGTCGCCGAGATGGACTCGTACAAGCGGAACTTCGACTCCCTGGACGCCGACGGCAGCGGGGCCCTCGACATGGAGGAGTTCGAGGAGCGGCCTCTGCTCGAGGAAGGGAGGTGGGAGGGAGGAGGGAGGAGGCACGAGGAGATGTGAGGGAGGGAGGGAACGAGGAGAAGGAGGAGGTGGAGGTGGAGGTGGAGGTTGGAGGAGGAGGAGGAGGAGGAGGAGGAGGAGGAGGAGGAGGAGGAGGAGGAGGAGGAGGAGGAGGAGGGGGGGGGCAAAGGAGGAGGAGGAGGAGGAGGAGGAGGAGGAGGAGGAGGAGGAGGAGGAGGGAAGGGATGAGGAGGTTGAGGAGGAAGAACGCAACCAGCGCAGTCATCGAGTCTGGCCAATGCCAAAACGGGGGAGGGCGAGGGAGGAGGAGGGGGAGGAGGAAGAGGAGGAGGAGGAGGAGGAGGAGGAGCAGGAGGAATAGGAGGAGGAGGGGAAGAAGAAGAAGAAGGGCCGTCGGCGTGGAGGGTGGAGGGCTGGCCTCTGATCGAGGAGGGGGGGACTGGAGGAGGGATCGAGGAAGCATTCTTTGTCAAAGCATGCGCTTCCGCGGTTCCCTTGGCACACGCGCCGCTGACCCTCAAGCGTGCCATGGCCGACACTGAGGCCTCTAAGGCGGCAGATGCGCACAGAGCCATCTGCCAAGACGACCGCAGCGGTGATCTCGAACCCTCCTGCTTCAGAGGCCGCAGCTCTCACTATATGATTCTACGCGTGCGCGGGTGTCGCTCGAGCTGGTCTCCGTCGGCGCGTGACAACACGACACCTTTGCGGAGCGTGCGAAAGCACCTGCATCTGTTCTCGCAGGTCCGCGCGGGCTTCGGGGATCGGCGCTGCACCTCCCTGTCGGCCCGCCTGGCGCCGCCCCTGGTGCACAAAAGGCGCTGGGGTCAGGAGTCGAATCAAGACGTCCGTGCGGACTTCCGATGGTGTCTGTTCTGCTGTTTTTAGTGAGGACGCCTACGGCGAACAACCACAGCCCCTTGCCTGTGGACACGCCTATGTTGCCAAGCGTTTGGCCAAAGCTTGGTGGCCAACATGTTGGAATCTGTGTCCCCCCAGCCGTGATGGGAACCCCTTGCGGATATTTTGGAAGGGCACGAACTGGAGGGGGAGAGGGATAGTAATCATTGTTATGATGATGCTGGTGATGATGCTGATGAGGATGCTGATTATGATGCTGATGATGCTGATGGTGCTGACGATGGTTCTGATGTTGATGATGGTGCTGCTGCTGCTGCTGATGATGATGATGATGATGATGATGATGATGATGCTGATGATGATGATGATGATGATGATGATGATGATGATGATGATGATGATGATGATGATGATGATGATGATGATGATGGTGGAAAGAGCGTGTTCTACCGCTGCTGGCGGAAAACTGGGGGGGGGGGGTACTATCGGTTCGAACCCCTCCCCCCCCCCCCCCTCCGGAAAACCGGGGGGGGTCACTACCGGTTCGAACCCCTCCCCCCCCCCCAGCTCATAATGAAAAGGGGGGGGGCACTACCGGCGGTTCGAACCCCCCCCGCCCCTCGAAACTCGAAAACCGGGAGGGGTCACTACCGTTCGAACCTCCCCCCCGCCCCTCGAAAACCGAGGGGGGATGCGGACAGTGGTGGGGACGGTGGTGGTGGGGACGGTGGTGGTGAGGGGACAGCGGGACAGCGGTGGGGACAGTGGGACAGTGGTGGGGACGGTAGTGGTGGGGACAATGGTGAGGACAATGGTGGGAACAGTGGGGACAGTGGGACAGTGGTGGGGACGGTGGTGGTGGGGACAGTGGTGTGGGGACAGTGGGAATGTGGTGGAAACATTAGGACAGTGGAGGGTACAGTGGTGGTGGGGACAGTGGTGAAGGCGGTGGCGAGGACGGCGGTGGGACAATGGGACAGAGGTACAGTGGGGACAGTGGTGGGGACAGTGGGGACAGTGGTGGGTGGGACAGCTCAGTGGGACAGCGGAGGAGTCAGTGGGACAGTGGGGACAGTGGGGATAGTCGGGCAGTGGTTGGGGCCGTGGAGAAAGTGGGGAGAGTGGAACCGTGGTGGGAACAGTGGTGGGGACAGTGGGGACAGTGCGACAGTGGTGGTGGCACTGGTGGGGACAGTAGGGGCGGTGGTGGAACCAGCGGGGACAGTGGTGGTGAGTGGTGCTGGGAACAACAGTGGGGGATGTAGTGAGGACGGTGGTAGGGACCGGGAGTCGTTTGCTGGCGGTGAGAGGGGGGGGGGGGGGTGGAGGGTTCGAACCCGTAGGACCCCCCTCTCCGGTTTTCGAGAGGGGGGGGAGGTTCGAACGGTAGTGACCCCCCCGGTTTTCGAGGGGGAGGGGGGGGGGAGGGGTTAGGGAGGGGGGGGTTTTGCCGGGGAGGGGGGGGGGTCAGCAGGGGGGGGATTTTCGGAGGGGGGGGGGGACCCCCGGGTTCGGAGGAAAAGGGCTACAATTTTCCACAGTAAAGCGGCGGTGGATCACACTCTCTCCGATGATGATGACGCTGCTGATGGTGCTGATGTCGATGTTTATGCTGATGCTGACGACGATGTTGATGTTGTTGATGCTGATGATGACGATGATGATGCTGCTGCTGATGATGATGCTGATGGTGATGATGATGGTGGTGGTGATGATGATGGTGGTACTGATGATGATTAGGGTAATGATGAGGAGGAGGAGGACGAGGGAGGATCAGGAGGAGACGGCGAAGGAGGAGGAACAACAGGAGGAGGCGGAGGAGGAGGAGCAAGAGGAGGAGGCCTCTTGAGACCATCTTGGGCCCCTCCGGAGGCTTCCTGTGAACCTCTTGGGGGCCTCTGAGGGGCCTCTTGGGGGCGACTTTCTCTCTGTACGTTCCCGCGTTTTATCTTCAGTGTTGCTTTGTTTTCTTCATTTGTTGTTGCTGTGCGCGTTGTTTCGTCAAATCGCTTTCACTTATCTGCTACAAGAATGCAATACCCGTCAGGTTGCACAGCAGAAATTCATTTACAATGTTCTTGCACGAGGACTATGCGTTCAGACAACAGTATTCTCTTCGCTATCCACACACTCGGGGTCAATGTGCAGCATCGCCTGCAAACGGAAACATTTCGCACAGAAGGTTGCTATTTGTACCCCGCACAATAGGGATCAACTTGTAAATCGCCAGCACAAGTATTTTCTTCCCGGCGGAAGCCTGAAATAGTTTGGGAGGAGGCCGAACAAGCGACTTTCCCATCATCAGCCGTGTTTGTGTGTGTTATTCTTGTGTGTGTGGAGGGTGGGGGGGGGAGGGGGCGGGCATCAAACAAAAGAAAAACGGTTGTCCATTAAGGCTTCCTGCAGGAGTTTACATTAATTCTGCAGGAGACCTACACATTTTGCTTCCTCCTGCAAGAATTGCTTGTGCAGGAGACTTTCATATTGATCCCTACTATGTGGCACCAGTGGTTTTCATACAGGCGTTATATATGTACAGGGGTGTAAGCATGTGTATATATATATATATATATATGTATACACATTTGTTCCCAAATGAGCCATATTGTGTGGTTCACAACTAAAATCACAGTTATGCGGCTTGGCAGCGGGGTTGCTTGTGTAGTCGCTTTTCACACATTGATTCCAGTTGTGTGAGTTGCATATTCTATATATAATCCCTGTGGCGCGGATTTACAGACAGACGCAACGACGGGTTGGACGGCCGAAGACACGGTGGTGGGATGCTGTGCTGCGACACGCGGAACAGACGGCTCTGAACCCACCAACAACCCCGACGGAGTTATTCGCATTTGCAGCAACAGAGGACTGGTACCATTAAGGCCAAGTTTCGTTGAGCAGTGAGTGGCGTATTGTTGTATTTTTCCCCCCCCACACACGCACGCGCACACACTGTAGTATTATGTGCCGTTTTCTTGTCTATTCCTATCTCTACCCCATCCCCTGTTTCACCCTCCTTTATTTCGCCTTGTCATCCTTCTGCGGCGCCCCGGCGCCCCCCTGCAGCGCCCCCGTGGCCTCTCGGCGCAGGCCGCATGCGCATCCGCAACCGCGCGGATTGACAGGCATATTATTTTTGTAGGTGGTCTACGTACGCATTGGCTTCATTGTGCCGATTGCAAACGAGAAACTTCTGTCAAGCTTTGCAATCGGCTTCCTATGTTGGGCCTGTGTACACATTCATGTTTACATGTTGAGGGTGCACACAAATCCGCTCGCGTACTTTCATGTTTGAATCTCTTCGTCGAGAAGTTAGGCTGCTCATGGATTTCTTTGTGCGCATTATTGCAAACAACATATGTGTGTGCGATTTCCCTGGCATTTTTTTGTCCGGCCACTTTTTAATCGATTCCAATTGCGCTGTTGGCACACATCGACATGTATTGATTTTCAGAGATAACGGGTATGTGTAGATGGTTGCCGAGACAGGGATAGACAAGCGTCCGTATTTATTCCCAACCCTCCTGCGTTGGGTTCTCGTTTTGAATAGAGCACTGCTCGCGCGTCTCCTTCCTTCCCGCCCCCCCCCGTCCCTCTCTTCCCCCCTGCCTTTGACCTCGCCATCCCTGGGGGGCTGCGATCGGTGAAACTGTCGCCACTTTCGAGGCCTGCTGGGGGGCCCAGCACAGTGGGTACACACGGCGGATTGAAATTGGACCTCGCCATCCCTGGGGGGCTGCGATCTGTGAAACTGTCGCCACTTTCGAGGCCTGCTGGGGGGCCCAGCACAGTGGGTACACACGGCGGATTGAAATTGACCTCGCCATCCCTGGGGGGCTGCGATCTGTGAAACTGTCGCCACTTTCGAGGCCTGCTGGGGGGCCCAGCACAGTGGGTACACACGGCGGATTGAAATTGGACCTCGCCATCCCTGGGGGGCTGCGATCTGTGAAACTGTCGCCACTTTCGAGGCCTGCTGGGGGGCCCAGCACAGTGGGTACACACGGCGGATTGAAATAAGACCTCGCCATCCCTGGGGGGCTGCGATCTGTGAAACTGTCGCCACTTTCGAGGCCTGCTGGGGGGCCCAGCACAGTGGGTACACACGGCGGATT